AAGCTGCACTCGCACCGCGCTTTCCAGGTCTTCGCATGAAAACTCAGGCTAGATGTTTCGTTTTCCTTTTGAGCCAGCGTTTTTCATTTGGGTTCTGTTTATTTTTGATGGTTCGTTAGATCACATCACGACTGAAATAGGTGCGAATGTACGCCGTAGGACGCGGCCAGCTGAAATGCCCGATTGGAGGTCTGGCGTATTTTTCTCATTTTGTTAGAACACCTGAAACTGGGTAAGAAAATCTTGAAGCAATCAAAAGTTGAAGACAGGGAAAGAAGTCGGTCAGACGGCGTTTCAAACTGAGCTAATATGTTTTCTCGCGCGATTGAAATGCCACTTCCGTACACAAGTTAGTTTCGATGACATCAGATTACGTGACAATCCTTGCTTTTTAACACTAAAAATTGGTTTTCTCTGTATGTTTATACAACCTTGATGGAGATGCGCCTCAACGGGTAATCGGTCTCTTAGCTGTAGATGAGAAATTTAGCCGGTACAGTACAACCGCTAACGTTTTAACGTGCATCACGCAGTAGTGATCGCACGAACGCGTGCCGGTACGAAACTCATCCAGATCGAAACGGGCGGGTTCGGTGGGGGACCGAACCCAGGAGGTTCCCAGCGTAAGCTTTCGCTCCACGCTCCGAGCTGAGACGCGTTAGCCCACTCGGCCACTTTTTCCCCTGCTTTTTAACACTCACGCGTTTTTGGTACTTCAACTAAGTTGTCCCCCGTGAACTGTCATAACCCCCCCCCCCCCCCCCCTTTCACGTTTTTTTAATGATGTCGAGTAAGAAAGCATGCATGAACAACCACCGATTCTGATATGAGTTACACAGGGTCGTACTACTGGTTTATTATCAGTCAATATGAAGGTGCTGCCCATTTGCTCTTACTTCTTTATATTGCAGCAAGCTGACCTGTTCTTTTGTTTATTTATATTATAGTAAGACACCCATTCACCGCCGCTTTGCGGGAACAGTCTGCGGCGGCTCATTACAGAAAAAGTTAATCCGAGCTGTCGATATAAGAATTAAACGGCATGGTGATAGCACTGTATGTCGACGAAACGTCATGGCATGAACTGATTGCCTGCGAGATCGCATCTCGCGTTCTCGCGGATGCCTTGTACGGCAAGCAGTGCTCACCGCTTCGCGGATTAATCAAGACCTTTTGGTGGGTGCCAGAAGTCTGTAAGAGATCGTTATTTCCCGCGGCCCCTACCTGAAGAAAGAACAGGTTCTACTGGCCTGTAACAATATTGGCCGCGCATAAACGGTCACCGACGTTTGTCTGTCACAGGTCACTTCGCTCCATATCACTCGCTTAAGGGGGGACACTACCCAAAACATTTAATATTTGAACCACTTCTCTGATTTAAATGACATTTACAGGGCTTGTTTCTGTTGATGTTGAGAACATTTGTGCCAAATTTTGTTAACCTGGGTGAAGCACAAAACAAATGGCAAATGTTCAAAGACGAAAGTGGGCGTGTCTGCGTAGGAAAACTATCGTTTTGAAATTATTTATAAATTTGTTGTTTTCATGTGTTATATTGCTTTAGGACAGTTCAGAGCAGATAACTATGGAGCTATATTTTTATATTATACCATCTTTTATGACAAAAAAAAACACAAACACAACTACTGTTTTTTAGATTTCCATCCTTTGTCCAAAATTTTAGTTTTTGAGCATGAGAATTGACAAAAATAAAAAATACAAGCTGATAGTTATCTTCCTCTTAAAATTTCACCCCAGAAAAACTTATAAAAATGAATCCAAGCTACATAACAGCAAAACGATAGTTTTCCTAAAGTGAAATTTATGCCAAAAAGTGGAACGGAGAAAGATGCATTCAAAGTGCTCCAACCTCTACCTTTTCTTTAGCATCAGTGGACCGAAAATAATTTATAAAGAATTCACTATGCGGTGTAAACTAATGAAACTTCCTGGGAATACTCTCTAGATGTTGGTGGATGTAAATATAACATTTTTCAAAAACAACTTTTTTTGCAGAAATAGATTTTTTTTGGGTAGTGTCCCCCCTTAACAGCGACGGCCCATCGTTGCTTCCATGCTTTGTTCCACGGGAACTGGAACATCTTATGCCCTCTATGGCTTGCGTTAGAACAACGTACCGCGGAGCTGTGAACCATTTTCACCGCGAATACAGCGCGGCTACCACGCCTAGAAGGGCTCTCGATTCAGCTGGACGAACCACGACCGGCTCCGGACGAACCGGAAGCGTGAAGTCACGTGGTGCCTCGCTTCGGATGACAAAACTTCCGGCTCAAACGCCGGTCACCTATTGCAAGGAGTCCTTTTGGGCTCATTTCTGTAGTTGCCAGTTGAAAGAAATGTTTGTTGTCCCTTGTCCGGAGTTTGTTTTATTCTTTCTGTTGCGAATCATTGTTACCAACACGCTCTTCAGTTAATGAGGCATGGCATCATGCCTGTTTTCTTTTGAAAGGATTAATGAGCCAAAAGGCACATTAACCCAAGAAACCGCATAAATCAGTCTTCTTTTCTAAATTGTTAGGTAAAATACCACAAAGGAGTTTATTTAGATAATGCAATTGTTTAGTTAAAATATGGAAGCATGAGTCCACCTGAAAATTGATGAAAAAAAACATTCTTACTTATGGGCTCGGCTAACTCGTGTGTGAAACTATGAAATGACATGTTGGTCGACTGTGTCATTTTTTGTTTTGGCAAAATGACGAATATAAAAGGTAAGTCACTTGTATTTTCATTCCACCCATTCTTCCGCTGTAATAAAGGCCACAATGGACCACAAAACTACCTCATCATTTTGCAAAAAAAGATGTGCCGAAATCATTGCTGTGGTTACGCCGATTCTCGGCGAAATGCGTTAGCATTTAGAGCAGACGTTTCAACTCGGCGAGGGACGGGAATTCCAGTCTCCCAACGGTCCGCACACTATCGTTTTCGGAGAGCCAGTTCGTTTTCCCGGGCGTCGGCGGTTTCAGACGCAGCCACCACAGCTTCCCTCGATCGCTACCTACGGCCCGCATAATGTTGTCCTCGAACAGCCAACCTTTCCTCCCGAGTGTTGGCAGTTAAGCGCAAACGGCATCGCCGCTGCACCCTGCTTTTATGTTGATGTGTATGTTGTGCATACAGGGAAAACGAAAGCATGTGCCTCCGCTCCGGTGCAATCGTAAGGGAAGTAAGAACCAACGGCGACTAGTCCTTGGAAGCATGCGAGAAGACTGTTCTTCTTTTACGTAAGAGGGAAGGTGCATGTAACAAGAATGAAGCGAAGGAGCACGGCGGAAACCGCGCTGCAACGTCACAAAACCAATCTAGTTCAAACCACGACCATTCAAATGCATTTTCAAATGCTAAAACATTTAAGAATGCATTTAAAAAAAAGGGCTTAGCTGGGCATTCAACCATAAAAAAATGTTTTTCTCTTTTTTTTTTTTTTATCCAGAGGAGTTCATACCGTAGAATACCATGCATCTGCCCATACCACAATGAGCGCCCATTCCCAAATTTCTAAGATCTGAGAAAATATGCACAGTACATTGATATGTAAAATTGATGACCGGACAGCAGTCTTGTACACGTTACTAAAAAAAAGTAATCGATTACAATTACTATTACTCTTGGCTAAAAAGTATTCGATTAGATTACTTGATTACTCGACGGCAAAAGTAATTCGACATTACTTAAAAAAGTAATCGTTACTTTTCCGATTACTTTATTGTGTGAAGACACATCTTTAGCGCTAATAACAATGAACTACTTCCAACCTATATTTCACATTTGCACAAGTATTGAAGAAGAAAAACTGGCTCCCTCTTCGTGGTCGTTGCACTTTCACATGCGGACACAAGCATGGAATTCGTTTGAAGACGTCTAATGATTTGGGCGTTTGCCAGTGTGTGTGTGTGGGGGGGGGGGGGGGCGGAGCGGGTTCTGGATCTTGTTAAGCTTGAGCAAGGGTTGTCGCTCAAAGTTTCCGTCGCTCATTTTATTATTCACATGAGGATGAGCTCGCATGTTATACAAAAGAGCAGCAGCTTCAGGATTTGAAACGGATCATGTGTAGTATCCATTAGCGGAAGGGATCGCCCCGACCACTTCTCAACTCGAAACATTGTCACAAAGACCACACGTAGGGGAAATGGGGAAATATTTCAACTGCCTTTGTTTTATTTTGCATCCGCTTTAGGCATTCTTCGGTTCTGGTTCTCCTAAGGGCTGCGTGTAGGCACCCTAAGCAAGATTTTTTTTTTTTATTTTTTTTTATTTTTGTATGTGTGTGCGTGAGGGGGCTAGTTTGAACGAAGGACTCTTAAAGCTACATTCTGCTTTCTCAAACATTGCCCTGAATGGCCTTTGTCACGCACTGTGCTTCCCTGGGACTTCCCACTCCCAATCCCAGCTCAAAAAAAAAAAAAAGAAACGGACATTTCACAGAAACTGTACATAGAAAGAGATTGACCTCGTTTCCTACACCTCCACAAAAATCTTTCTTTTTTTCCGTTCGAAAAAAAAAAGCAAATTTTATTTTTGTCATTTTATAAAAAAAAAGGCGTGTGCCCGGGGTGGGAGGGTCCCGTGGACAAATTGTAACGGTTACAAGTAATTTTATTACTTCAAAAAGTAATCAAATTACTCTCGTGATTACTGCCAAATAAAAGTAATCAACTGATTACAAAATTACTCCAAAAAGTAATCGATTACAAGTAATTTGATTACTTGTAATGCGTACGGTACAAGTCTGCCGGACAGTGCCCATCCCCATATTTTTGCGATTATCTCTAAATCTAGAGTGGGCGCTTGCCCGGTATTTTACGGAGTTTTTGTACTTGCACATAACGAATGAAAAGCCCACGCACACCTCCGCAGTAAATCGTGGCACGATACGCCGAGAAACTGATTTATAGCGTCCCTTCAAAGTGCCAATGCGCCGTCGGGTTCGCGCCGTACCTATGGAGCAGCACGGGACAATCGAGAAAGCAACACACCACTAGCTCGTCGTCCACGTTCGGGTTCTGGAGCAATTCCCTGAGCTGCGTCTGCCTTTCCTCCATGGCCTTCTGCTGTTCAAAACGCTGGATCTTTTCTTGACGTCTCCTGCACAAACACGGACGAGAACAAAAAGACTTTAGAGCACAGCTCTTAGGCACCCGCTTCCGGGCTCAGCGGCATCGCCTTCGGCGTAACCACACATGTTGCATTTTGAAACGCTTCCCACTAAAGTTATCAGAGAAAATTTCTCCGCTAAGTTTAGCACTAAAATTTCCCCTTAAATATAGCGGGAAAAATTTTCTGATAAATTTAGCGGGTTAATTTTCCCGCTAAGTTTAGCGGGGTAGTTTTCCCGTTAAATATAGCGGGAAAATTGACGTCCCGTCACCTCGACACCAATTCAGTTTCCCCGCTAAATTTAGCGGGAAAAAATGATGTCATGACTTCGTGTCCCGACACCCATGAACAAATTAAGCGGCAGGAGGAGGAGCAGGGGAGAGGAGGAGAAGGAACAGGAGAGGAGGAGGCTAGGAGGAGGAGAATGGGAGGGTATAGAGGAGGAGGAGAGGCATATCCTCCCCTTCGTATCCTCCCCTCCTCCTCCTCAAGAGCTGTGCTCTATTTTTGCATTACAAAGATTTGTAAACGTCTTTCATTTTTCTTTCTTCCGCAGTTCTTCCACTACAGTTGTCGACAGAATGAGGGCAGCAGGCCGCCTCTTTAAAGAGGCCTCCTACATGCGCTCCTTGCCTTGTGACGTGCTTTGGCTGCACGTGCGCGCTCGAGGCTCACGGGATACCAAAACATTATACAAAGTAGGAAGCTAGAGGCGGAAGAAGTAAAAAAACTTCCCCGCCTTTCTCGTCCCTCCGGTGACCTTATCAACTGAAATGTGTGCGAGGGTGTGTGTGACATTGGCCTCAAAGAAATTGATTGAGTGAACACTCCATAGAATATTACCTGGTTACCGAAGGGCTCAAAGTTTATTGAGAAAAAGCAAATGTGGAAAACCTGCGGTTCTTTTTCCTGTCACGTACCAGACGTGTGTCGTGAGGTAGAACCTTATAGATGTATTCTCGATTTATGTTTTCCCAGCTTTTACGTTCACAAATGTCAGTACTATTAAACTTCCATACGGACTGTAACAATACTTTGAACACGATACGTGCGGAGTCAAATACCTGCCTGTGGCAAGCAGTTTTTCTGTACCCTCGCTGACGATGACGGCGGTGGTGGCTGCTGTCGTGGCATCCTTGTGTAAACCCGCGCGTGTTTATGAAAGCAGACTGGCTGTGTCTCAGCACATCCATTCCCTTGCATTGTACTATAGGCTCCTGTCAAACCAACTCCTAATCCTTGACTGTCACCCATATTTTGTAGCAAAAGAAAAAAGTATACATTTCAGAACTGCACTGGTTCTTAACAACTCTGAACGACACAGAAGAGAAAACAGTGAGCATACTAATGGTCCGATAAATCGCGAAGACGCTTAGATAAAGTTATAAACAAAGTATCAGAAGGAAAGTGCTGCCTAAGATTCTGACATTTTATTTGACACCTATGGGCATTCCCGGAACAAATATAAAACAAGTTAATGACTCGTGGCACTGCATAAAAACTACAACAAAGCTTTTCTTGCTCTCGCCGAAGAGAATCGGTCTTCAACGTCATCGAAGTCAATCTGCTGAGTTTTCCTCTGCGGAGCAAAATCACCCAAATCTGCCTTGACACATGGAAGCTCGCAAATATGAAAATATTCATTTCAACTCACAGAACGACCTCTCACAGCCAGAGATGTAAACTGATATGGTTAGCCGTATCTGAATGGAAATGCGAAGATTGGGGAAGAAGTGAAGGAATTCCGCAGGTCTCAATACTTCCAGGTCAGTCGGCTTTGAGAGCAACGAATTACGTGCATTGACGTCACAGCTTTAGAATTCACCAAAACTGGAGCATTCTGTAAGCTATCCTCATTGGCACCGTACCACAGTCCGTCAAATTCGGGCCGAAACCTCTTGTCGATTTCTGTGGAACTTTCCATTCCAGTAATTTCCTTGACCGGCGGACAGAGGGCCCCGACGCACTCGGTGTGATGAGGTGGCTTCAATTTGGTTGGTTCCGGTTTCGGCGTGATCATGGCTGTGTTATGTCGTTTCCGCTTCATTTTGTGATACAAATGCGTTCCTTGCACTATACAACCAACGACATGGTGCTATGTGGCCACCGTGAGAACTACGAAGTGGTTACGAGCCTAAATTGTGGATGCTCTTACAAACGCCTTCGTCTTGTTACGTTTGTCGCTCGGCCAGGTTCGGCGGTAAAACGACCGAACTGATGCGGTAGAAAGATTGCCATTGTCTACAGCCACACTGGCCGTACCCACCGACACTAGTTTCCACAGAAATGAACTTATGAAGAGACTCACGCGTGGATCTTTATGTGTAGCAGATGTAATACAGCAATTATTGTTTGCAATCACTAGAGTTCCTGTGTAGGCAGACGACATGAGGGACACTGACACCCCCACCTTCCCCAGAAGGGATAATAATAATAGTGTACCGTATTTACTCGCGTATAGGTCGACCTGTTTTTCAAAAATCGCCTCATCAAAACTGGGGGGTCGACCAATACGCGAATCCTGGTATTATATTTTTCAACTTTTTTTTTTTTTCGGGGGTCTCGAAGTTAGGGGGTCGACCTATACGACGTATCGACCAATATGCGAGTAAATACGGTAAATATGCATGTTTTTCGATTTGAGTCACTTGACGACAGCCTTGTATGAAAGTGTGCGTCCCATATTCGCAACATCTCGTTTTCAACCTTTAAAATGCCAGTTTCTGGTGTTAGGACACACACAAACGTTTCGGAAGATAGGGAGAGTTAGGAATGGTCGGATGTGCAACGTCGAGCATTATAGTTCTGTGTTTAGTTTTATGCAGATACATTGAAATCGCGAAATAACACTAATTGAAAAAGCAATATTATTTTGTTTTGGAACACACTACTCCTGAGCCGAAAACAGAATTGTTATAATTGCGAGGAGTGTCTTAAAGTAATTGTCGGCCAATGTTTCAGAACGCACTGCATCATTTGCACTTGCGCAGTGGACTGCGTAAATTACTGGTCGATATTCTATTCTTGAGGCAGAAAATATTGAAGAGAACCACGCTCGCTCACAAACGCACGGTTACTGTGCTGCTTACTCCACACCGCGCCGTAACCGCTGGTTGTACTACACTGCACATAGTAACCGCACAACTGCACGGCGCCCATTTGCAATCCATGGCTCCGTCGCGTTCTCGCGCGTGCGCATACATTTGCCGAATGTTTGCCGAATCTTTGCCAAACGTTCCTTCAAAGATTCGGCATTTGCCGAATTTTGCTGAATCTGAAGTTGGGCAGATTCGGTCCATCACTAGTAGTTAGGCTCTCACACGTCATGTACAAATAAAAACCTCGGTGAGCATAAATACCGTGTCAGTGTCTCTTTAAGCGAACCTGCTTACCAGTATTTCTCTTTCATTCTAAAAATAATCTCGGAGCACTTTCATGTCTCACGGCAAATTCTCCACTGGTCATTTCAGATCTCTAGCTTAAATCTGCTACGGAGCATACAATCTGTGCGGAGTCGCTGGCTGCACCTCCGACTCCACCGGTGGAATACGTAAAGTATCCAGGAGTGGCCGACTGTCTTCCTGGCACTCCCCATCGCACTAAGCTCTCGTCATTTCCGGAAAGTGCTTGCGTGCTCCGGGTTTTTGAGCCGTTCACGCCATGCTCGGCGAGGCAGGGAGTCGCGTGCTCCCAGGGATTGGCTTCCACTAGCTCCGGGAAAATCGGCACATCGAGATCTGGGCACCCAAACGAGATCTGGAGTCGGCGCTGCTCCAAAACAATGAGAGAGACATCCGGATTGATCCAAGACGAATAGTGGCTGATGCGCGCTCCAAAGAAGTCGATCCCGGAGCCAACAATGATGAGTAGAATTCGCCATGAGGCAGCATCACGAAAGTTCATTTTTGAATTTTCAAGCCTTCTTTTGAACGCAATCTTTGCAAGTCCGTACCCCGTTTCAAAAGCCGCCCAAATCATGAACTCGTAACTCAGAGTCCTGCTTTACGACGGTCTTCCGTCGCAGTCACTTTCTGTCTCGCTGGTTTAATTTTCATTACTTATCATTCCCCGTTGAACTTGCAGTAGCTCCCCAAAAAAGAAACCGAGGCACCCGCAGTCCTCTACGGAGGCGAGCTGCGGTTGCGATTGTCTTTCGCTCCTGCAATACTGCCAATGATGGTATTTTTCCTGGCTTTCCGTAACTATATATTTCTCCTATTTTTGCGTGATATTTTTCACAAAGCTTCTCAAAGAAAAACAGTGGAGCAGCTGCTGCAGTCCCCTATACTGCGTGGTAATGCCAGCATGCACAAACACGGCAGAACCTATGAAACAGAGACAATATTAGCTTTACACAAAAATAGAAAACAGTAGAGTAATGTTTCCCAACACTGTGGGTCGCGAACCCAAGGGGTGTCACGAAGTGGATTGGGAACTCGAAAAAATCTACACTTGTTTCCTCTGCTGCAATGTCAACGAAAACGGTGCAGATTACGGCTCAACTTCGAGCCGGAACCGACAGTTGAGGCATCTAAACTCCGCCCTCGTTTCGGGAAACTGTGCTCAACAAACAAGTGGACTTTAGACATTAAAAACACTCCCGTTGGCATGCATTTTTTTCTTCTTTTTTGCAATGGTGTTTTGCTTCTATTCACTCCGACTCTATCAGCTGGTAAATGATGTTTCAGCGTCAATTCTGCGTATTACCACTTATGCAATCAAAAAGAAAAACTTAGGTGTCATGAAAAGGGGAAAGGGGGAGGGGAAGTCCAAGATATTGTTTGTGTTTGGTGGGAAGCAGGGTAGAAGTGCTTGGGAAGCAAGCACAGCAGTAGAGAAAGAGAGGTCGGAGCACCCCTTGTGCCGGCTGTCGTCTAGCGTTGCGCCCTGGCATACCTAGGCTTCGACGATCACCGTATTTCGGCACGAGAGGAGCACTCAACACAAGCCGCTTGGGCAGAGAGAGCTTTCGGCCCAGGATGCCCTTTGTCCCATCTTAACCCAGGGCTTCCTCATCGGCCCAGCGCCCTCCCCCCTCCCATGTGGTGCTTAGGACACGTTCCTCTTTGTGCCACACCCCAGGTACGCCACCGATAACGAACGCCCGTGATATGAAAATGCCCGTTTAATGAGGTAGAACTAAGCCCTTGCCCACCTCCTATGCATTTACTGTGCTTTTACAACCAGTACAACAAATCTGTGATTTACGAATTGATCTCAAAAGGCATAAATGACTGCAGTTACAAATTTTCTCAGTAAAAAGGCCTATGACTGCGTTAATTTGTTGTTTGTCGCATTTGCCTTCTGGATTGCACGTTCAAAAACTGCCAGCGGACAAGGCTGAGGCGACACGTTGGATGCCCCAGCCACAACCACCCTCCTAATTATACTCTGCTCCCCATCTCTATGCACCGCCTCTTGTCTGGGCAGTCATGACCTCGGTGTAGGCTTGGAAAAAATTCCGGCTTTTGCAATGATCGGTTGTCTTTCCATCTCCCAATCCAATGTGCGTGCATGCGCTTCCCTTGTGCCCACTTTTCCCAGTCCCGCGACCTTCGCTTTGCGTTTGAAATTGTGGTGTCATTAAAAAAGAATGCTCCTCCTAGCGCAGCTCTTAGGCGCCCGTTTGCGGGTTTCGCGGCGTCGGCGTAACCGCGCTTAATTTAGCGCGAAAATTGAAGTCATGTGACCTCAACACCAATTCAATTCCCTGCTAAATTTAGCGGGGAATTGAACTGGTGTTGACGTCGCATGTCGTCGATTTTCCCGCTAAATCTAGCGGAGAAACTGAATTTGTTCATAGGTGACATGACACCAAGTCATGTGACGTCATTTTCACTACTAGATTTAGCGGGGAAACTGTGGGAGGAGGGGAGGGTACAGAGAAGAAGGATGAGAGGGTGTGCAGGAGGAGGAGGAAAGGGTACAGAGGAGGAGGAGGGGAGGAGGAAATGAGAAGAAGGAGGGGAGATGGGGGAGAGGAGGAGGAGAGGACATGGAGGAGGAGGGGGCGTGCCCTCCCCTCCCTCTAAAGAGCTGCGCTTTAATTTCGCATTACAGAGTGATCATTGAGTGCTTAACGTTTTTCATTTATTAGATGCTCATACAAACATTTCTACTTGCTCATGGACTGCGCTCGCTATGCCATCGTCTGAACTTCCAGACACTGGCACCGCCACCACCGCGTGCGGCGAGCTAAGAGTAGCAGGAGGCCCCTTTACAAAACAGATGGGCACTGGCTGCTGTGATAAGACAGAGCCGCCCACTGCTTAATTCCACAAAGACGATTGGTGGAAAATTATGGTATCTGAGGTAAATGAGTATAAAAATCTTGAGCTAACTTTAACACAGAATATTCAAAATATCTGTTCTTCCACTTCTCGAAAATTAGGTTTTCTACGACGCAAACTGAAACATGCTCCAACATTCATTTAATTCAAACATATAAATCATTTGTTCGATCAAAAATAGAATATGCTAGTATAATTTGGGACCCCAACACCTAAGAAGATATGCCAAGACTTGAAATGGTGCAAGGAGAGCTGTTCATTTTATTTATGGAAAATATATGAGTTTGACAACCCAACCATGTTTATGTCTGCAAAAAATATATAGTCGCCAACCGATTTTACGGACGCCGATTTTTCGGACACGCTTGATTATTCGGACGTTTTCGCCGAACCGCCACTCGCCCCATAGAGTTAATGTATACCATTGACCAAAATTTTGGCCGCCATAAAGCTTATTGCTCGATATTTCAGACATAATTTAAGTGATTTCCTCAGTTTACAGCCGCAAAACAGCCACCGTGATATTGGCGCGAGCTTAGTCGCCACCATTTTTGTTGTTTTGATTTTGCCTTGTAGCCTCAATACCATGTCTAATCTTGTGCAAATAGTGAATTTTGAGTTCGAAGCGAATTCGAAGCGAATAGTGGTTTTGGCCGAATATTTTCGATTCGAATATCGAATAGTTTTTCCACGCCTTTCATTATCATTGCATAATGCTTAGACAAAAACCCAGCTAAACTTGTGAAGGTTGTTCCACTTGTTCATTTATAAGCAAAGTTTAATCTATCGATATTTATGAACTGTGACCACAGAAGGTCTGGTGTCTTGGGATGGCAAGTAAACGACGAATTTGACATGAAATGAATCCTGTAGAGATGGCCAACTATACCAACTAAAGTTAATTTACAAATCTCGCTATATAAAATATTATTTCTTTAATCTCGAGTTAAAAAAAAGAATGAATCGTGCATGATGATTGCAGGTTGTAAGGGCATCTCTGCCTAACATAGTATACTCTTGCATAACAGTTTAATTTTAAAATTTTTACTGCAATGTAGATATACACATTCACAAAGTTTTCATTTATTTTCAAATACAGTCGGCACAGGTGCACCATCCCGCTTTGAATGTATGCTTTACTTCCAAGCACGCAATTACGATATTCATACTTTTTCAAAGTTTATCGCGGCTGGTTACCCCGTTGAGTGCGCTTCTTACCAAGCACCGGTGCGCTGCGGAGAAGCAAATCTCGCGGAAGCGAGCTTCGCGGGTGTTGCTTCTCCGCAGCGCACCGGTGCTTGGTAAGAAGCGCACTCAACGGGGCCAACCCGCGGCAATCAACACTTCGAAAAACGCGAATAGTGCAGTTCTTCTCGAAGCGAATATCGAATAGTATATTATTCGGAAGTACTATTCGAAATTTCAAATATTCGCACAACCCTAACCATGTCCTATGCCAGGGGTAGCCAAACCGCGGCTCGCGAGCCGCATGCGGCTCCTTGCTGGTCCAAGTGCGGCTTGCAGATTCCTCGTAAGCACCCTCCCCCCCCCCCCGCGCCTTTCCGTGTTTCCCCAGGAAAAAAGAAAGGATTGCAGAATAAAGCACGGCTCGCGGTTTGGCAGCTTGTACTCCCATATGTACAGTCGTACAGCCTTGTGCCCCCATACCAACGTTACTAGAACCACTCAGTTGGGAAACTGCCATAGAGACTGCTCTGAAAATGTGGCCCCAATCTGTCCACCAGAACTGAGCCAATGGCGAATACAACGCCGCCATTCCTCCCGCAGCGGCCACTGGAGGAACCGCATGTTACTTCTATTTTGGCTTTAATCGGCCATTTTGGTGCCGAAACAGATACAGCGGAAGAGGTTGCAGGGGTGCCACCCCCATCTCCCCAGCGGACGCACCGCAAATTTCTACCAAAGTTAAAATGCACCTAGGTCGGGACGTGCTACCTGAAAGGACCGCTGAGGCATGGTTGTATAAAAACAATACTAATTGCTCCGCAAAACCTTGCAAACTAAAGATTATAAAAACATCACACGCCCTTCATTTTGTACTCAACTCCAACAAATTTCATACAAAAAGAGTTAAGCCCAATGAAGTAACAATATGGCCGATGCTATAGCAACAATGCCAACGAAATGTGAATAAAGCCGACAGAATGAAGATAAGGTAAACAAAAATAGCAATGAGGCCCATGGAATAAAAACAAGGCCAACGAAATAGCAATGAGCCCAACCACCAACCTGCAAGCGGCCAAAAGGTTCTCCGTGCTCTCCTTCCCGGAGTTCCTTGTCTTCGTGCTGGCGTCGTCGCCCGTGCCATCGTCTTCCTTGGCCTCCGCCGTTTCATGGCTGGTGAGGCCGTACTGCCGACAACGGTGCAGGAAGTCTCGGAAGTACACCTGAAGAGGAACACGCCCCCATCCCCTCACCAACCACACGCCCTACACTCGCGGCACCCGAAATGCTCCTTCGACCCGAGTGTTTGGCGTCCCGCACGTTTAGCGTGCATCACAAGTCCTCCTGAAGCGGCAACAAACCGTGTCGCGGGAGCTCGCACGTCGGACCAGATGTCGCGATCCCGGCGGGGTACAGAATTCGCCACCGGGAGCCACGGTGTCTCGACTCCCGGTGGCCGAATCTACGACAGTCCAATAGTATCAAGCTGGAAGACACCTACGGCAGAACGGGCATCTCGCCGTAACCGTCGGTGCTGCTATCCCACGAGCCGGAATTGCGAGGGTCGACAGCGCGACGCATCTGCCGCGTCGTCGGGAGGAAGTTGAGGGACCCCAAACGAGGACGCAGTGAACATGGAGGTTGGAGCTGCATTTTGGGCGTCGTACTACGGATGACCGAGAGGAGAAACGACCGGGACGTACCTCAGACAGCCGCAGGATTTCGGAGCGGTCACCACCAACTCGCTTTTGGCTCAGGGATCCCAGCAATGCCGGGAGCAACAGAAACCTGAAAAGAGGGCGAAGGACAGCTTGAGCCGTATCCTCTGGCCCAACTTCCGAAGACATGTCTAGAAGTTCACAGTTTGAAAAAGTCGAATAATTGATGTTCTTTATTTAAAGAAGGAGAGTCTAAGAGGCCAGAGCTCCACCCCAGAGGGCCTAATAAACCAAACTAAAAATAAAATAACTGTGGCAATGGGCAATGGACACGCACAAGAGAGAATAATAGGCACAGACGTACACGAGGGTGAAGTATGAGAGGTGATGAGGGCGCAGTTCAGCGGGTGCGAAGGGAGTGTGGTGCAGTGTTGCGGAATGGGCACCCCCATTCCATTCTATTTCAAGTCCGGGGAATCGGAGTTTTCGATAATTCAATTTCTTTCAACTCCTAGGAATGGGTACACTTTGCCCATTCCCACTCCTGGAATGGCTGAATTGCTCCATTCCATTCCTCCAATTCCTAAACGTGAAAACTGGCACTTGACAGCTACATTGTGCTGCCGGCATAAGCAGCATAAAGCTGAAATTATCAAACACATAAAATATTGAAAAAAAAATGCTCAATGCCTAAAAAAAACACTGATTTTACAAAGTTGGTGGCAGAAAGTGTTTTTAAAAACAGCAAAGCTTAAATCCACTCATTTTCTTTTCTTTTTTCAAAAGATTTTGTATTTGACATTTAGGACATACGCGGCCAGTGTGTTTTTTAAGACCATAAAAATAACCAGCTTCTGCATGGCATCGACAAAGCTAGCTTCACACCAAGATGCAATTAACAGGGCAATACCGCACCGTTCGAATTGACATTCCCCGTCTCTCCTCGACACCACCGTCCAACTGACTTTTCACCGCCTCAAACAGGGTTCAAAGCAAGGAGTACAAATGCAGACCGGACAGCCGAGTCACGCGAAAGCCAAAACCTCAGTAGCAGCTAGCACCCAGCTCTCCTTCTCAGTGGCCCTCACAGCAACGGTCACGCCTTGTCTGGCGTGGGACTGTTTTTCTGCAGGTCTAGTCAGTTCGGTCACGCGACAAGAGCGGTGGCGATAGTCTACTTCACCTTACGATGAACCGCAACAGACAGAACAAGAGCCATTGAAACCAATCCAGTGCCTTCTGAGTGTCGCGTGACCCTGGGGCACAGCAACGCGCCGTGCGTGTAGTCCCACTCATGGTGCTGGATTGCCTGGGGTGACTCGTAGTGTCCGTAGTGGTCCATCGCAAGGTGAAACAAGGTATGCAGAGACTAAAGTCAAAGGAAATGAGCGGGAATCCGCTAGCTTGCTTGTAACCCTAACCCACTTGAATGTAAAACATTTAACACAGAAAACAAGCATCGGAACAGAGACCAAGTAAAAGGCGGACTTACAAGTAAAAATGCAGTATAAAAAAAAACAAGCGTCGGAGCAAAGCGCAAGAGAAGAGAGAAGTGAATCTCGGTTTGTTTTAAGGCCGAAGCAAACCCACATTTCGCACTTTAAAGGAGTGCGCGCGAATGAACGTGGCAGGCAGCAGGGTTGGTCGCCTGCTAAACAACGCTCCTCGAACTATATATAAGAAAACAATAACTGATCATCCTTCGGCGGCGCACGAGTCAATCAGTTATCAGAACTCTGCGAGTTATGAGTCGCCCCTGCTACCAGATATCAGTATGCGCGCATGCATTCTTGATGCCGTCGCAAAAAAAAGAATAAATAAAAAAAGACAAAAAGGAAGATGAGGAGTCGCGCATGGCGGTTCCCTTCCTTTGCCGCTCCTTTCGTTTCTTTTGCTTGGTGCTTGGTTTCTTGTTTCGCTCTCGTGTAACGCCAGTGAAGCCCGTCGGCTGCGCGTCCATGAAAGGCGCCACCGCCACCCCACCCCCATCTGCTCTTTGCTTTGACGTTTGTTTTTTTGTACTGTACTTTTTTTTGCATAAGTCTGCTAAAGCTCCATGCGGGCAAGCAGTTTCCCACTCATTTTATTTCTGAGCAACCGACTTGCTGACTGGCTCGATTTAGCTGAGCGTAAGCACACATACACAGAAAAAGAAAAAAGAAAAAGAAGAATCTGGCCCATTCCATTCCCATTCCATTCCGGGCAAAAGGCATCCAATTCCATTCCCATTCCATTCTGGGGTTGCGAAAATGCGGAGTGATTCCGGAATAATTCCAACTCCGGAGTGTCAACTCTGCATCACTGCTGTGGTGCAAGCAAATAATCTGGCTTCCAAGCGAGAAGAGAAAAATCAAGCTGCATTAAAGTGTGACTTAGACCGTGGTTTATATCACATTACTTTTTTGTTACAACTTGAAATGGAACTTTCCAGGGAAAAAAAGAAGTAAATTTTAAAACAGATTTTTTGATATTTGGAGTCTATGGTGCACAATAGTTTAGATTAACACACTTATTTTTTACATATCTTTAACCAAATATTCGTCAAAAGGAGGATCTTTGTCAAGGTGAAGAGAGAGAGAGTAAATGTTTTATGGGATCACCAAGTCTACTGCCCGTGGTTAACACTCCTCGCCCAGCACGTTCTTCATGTGCTGGACCAGGAGTGACCAAAGATATGGTTCGCTGCCAGAAGGGGTGGTTACCCATCCCCCCTTAGCTCCCAGATATAAGTGTTAGTGGCAGGGGTGTCGAGTGTGGTTTTGGTGATGGGAGCAACTTTTGGGCATTCCCACGGCTGATGTTTGTTATCAGGGTAGAGGCCGCAGCGTGTGCATTTGGCCGTGTGTGGTGCGCTGCTAGTATAGTGTTCCTGACGTTCTGTGAATGGTATGTTGGTTTGTGTGCATCTGACAATTGTGGCGTCCTCTCTGCTAAATGCATGTGGCGAGCTTTTAAAGACTGTCACATTAAGGAGCTTTAGAATAACGTGCGCAATTTTAGCGCACGCTAGTGCTAAATTTAGCGCTTGTATTAGCGCACGCGACGCAACAGAGTTTTAGAATAGCGTCTCTCTGCTACGCAAAAGCCCAAGCATCTCACACTTGCGGCGCTGGTGGCGCCACCAAGATACAGTAACAATTTTTATTTCACACACGAAATGCTGTAACTATAGAAAAAAACAAGGTTTTTGGTCCAGAGTAGCATTTTAGATTTGTTTAAACATGAGAATGCGCTGCGAGCGGTTGACCTGTCGTGTCCGCTTGCGTCGCCTCGGCAAGAGAGGTCTCGTGTACTGACCTTTGCACATCATACCTTCGCCGAGAAATGTTTGTGCGTCGCAAGCATCAAGTTGCCGGTGATCGTTGCCAAACCGAGTACAATGTCGTCCCGTATTGAAAATCGCAGTCGCGTGGATGCCGCCGACGTCGCACCCACAACGCCGCCAAAGCAGTCGCCAACGTAATGCTGCAAGCCGCCATTTTTTTAACTCTGCTTGTCTTGGCTTTAGCCAAGTTGTCATCACGAATCCTCCTTGGAGAAGCGCAAAGACTCTTTGCATACGCACGCTATTTCCGAGAAATAGCGCACGCTAAAATTGTGCACGCAAAGCTCAAAACCTGGTTTGCGTTCAGAGCATGCGCAGTGGCGACAACGCTATTCTTTGCGCGCGCAAAGCTTTAGCGTGCGCTATTCTAAAACTCCCTATTGTTTCTAAATTCTTTTAGTGTGCATACTCTGGACTCGCGTAGTGTCCTTCTGCGATCGTAGGTTGTCGGCCAGAGGGTTGAAGGGCCTGTTGGGTCGCCTCCTCAGGCTAAAACCTTGGCTCTAATGTTCTCTTCAGTTCCTAGGTGCCCAGGGACCCGTTCGGTAGTGACTTTTGCATAGGGGCATTCTCTAGGGGTGTTTGATAATGCGGTTATGACGAGTGAGGTAGAGTATTGTTTCCAAAGTCTCCGATGGCTCTTTGGCTATTTGTTTAGATGGCGGTGGGATCATTCCTAGAGTGTGAAGTAACAGCTTTGACTACTGCTTCGATTTCCAGTGCGGTTGGGGAAGCAGCGTTGGTGTGGCTATGGGTGCCTTTGGTTCAGGGGTCTCCTGCTGCCGTGCTGGTGCTCTTTGTGTTGTAGTTGTAGCTTGTATCCGTGCGATAACATGTGGTGGCGATGTCGTAAAATCACTGTTCCGCTCAATGTCTCTTGTGTTGGTCTCTTCTGCCTTGGTTGGTTTCTGGGTTCGTGTTCTGGGATTGAAGGTAGTGTAAAGTTGTTGTATCCCATGCTTAAGACCAGGGCTCTGCCTTGTTGAGATGTTCGAAGTCATCGTTGTTAAGCTGCTCTGTGCACAGTGATTCGTTCTTCGAGTGTTGAAAAGTCTAATGTCTTGAGAAACTTTTTGTAGGGATGTGCATTAGGGTATGTCTAGCACGAGTCGGGTTGGGTCGCCTAGCGTGGTTGAGTTTTTAGTTTTTTAGTCAGTGTTTTGATCAGGCTCGTGAATGGTGTGGCAAACATGACTCTAGATGTGGTCAGGACTTCTATGGTTTTACATAGTTCATGTTTTTTGAGTTCATGCTTCTTGCGAGTTATTCTTCCCAACACATCCGTGATTTGGTTGCTAATTATCTTGGCCCATTTGTCGGATTTTCCATTTTGTTTGAGGTAGAAACCGAGTAAATTGATGCACTTTTGTCTCGAAATCTTGTTTTCATCTAGCAAGAGCAATATGGATTCCCATGTTTTTTCTGCGTCTATGGTATTGCTGTTAATAGCTACTATGAACTCCGATTTTTTCAGGGTAGCATTGGAGTCCTATGGTGCAAATGTAATCTTAAATGGTGTCAAGTGCTTCAAATAATTTCCTCCTGGCGAACTGGAGGTCCTCGGTCACTTTATAGGGCAATATTGTCTGCATAGAAGCCGAAGTGAAGGTCGGGAATGGTTTGGAGGAGGGTGGGTAGGTCCTTCAAAGCTATGTTAAAAGTACAGGAAAGAGGACTGCACCTTGGGGTACCCTGCATGGAGGGGAAATTTGAGCTAGTGTAGTCTCCTATTTTGATCTCAATGTTCTGCTTGCGAGGAAGTCTCAAACGTAATTGTAGAGTTCTTTACCCGGTCTTGTCTGTCCTAGCCTATCTAGAATTGCATGATGTGACATATTGTCAAAAACTTTCTGTATGTCGACACCAGCTATGACGCAGGTCTGTGCTGTGCTGGTGCGGTCGTACACTTCGTGCTGAAGGAGTATCATGGTGCCTTGAGAACATACGTGACGGCGAAATCCAGTCACGGTGTGGTGTGGAAAGCCTAACTACAGCAGATGCCATTGAAGACATCGTAAGGCCATGCGTTCTGCAAGTTTTCGTATGCATGAAGTGAGTAAGATTGGTCTTAGGTTTTTTTATCTGATCCGGTGGTTTGTTGGGCTTTGGGACGAGGATGATCACGGCTTCCTTTCATTTTTGGGGTATCTCCCCTGTGTCCCAAGCTTGGTCAATTTGTTCAAGGAGGGAGTCGAAGTAATTTTCTGGTAGGTTCTCGATCATGGGATATGTTATGCCACCTTTGCCGTGTGTAGTATTTCTTCCGATACCGTACAAAGCCGCAAGCATCTATTCTTTGCTGAGAGGAGAATTCATATCAGTATTCTCGTCATCAGGGTCCTCCCCTGAGTATTCCAGTGGAGAAAAGGGGCTCGAATTCGTTGAGAAGAGCAGGTCTTTTAGTTCTCAGGCAATATTCTATGGTGATTTGTTGGTCTTCATTGGAGTCATTCTTGACAAGCGGCTTGCCTTTAAATGCTGACACACCGTACGGCTACGTCAGTCGAGCACTGCGTCAGAAACAGGCATAAAGAATTCATGCTGTACCCGTGGGTTTCCTTCTCAACTTCGCTGCTAGAGACGCGACGGTTGGACCTACTCCCCAAAGGTGCCTCAGACCACTCGTCGAAATCCGTGGTGGGAAGCCTCAGAGCCCCCAAGACCCTCCTGACTTTAAGCACCGAGTGACCGTGAGCAGCGTGTCTACTGTTCGGCAAGTGAAGCCTGGCAGTACCACGACAGTCTCCCCCTATTAAAGTCTATTCACACAATGCATCTTGTTGGCGAATCTTGCGCCACGAAACCAGGTTTCGGGAAACAGATTCCCCGTCTGATCGCAACCGAAAAAGTGGCGCTCCTCCGAAAAAAGTGGAGCATGTTCCTAGCTTCTGGAGCGATTCTTCGCTGAAACCTCACCGAGGTATGTCAATCACCCGGAGAAATGCGGACGCTGCCAATGGCCACTCGACCGCTATGACGTCTGACCTTCGAGGAGGAGCGAGCTTTTGGAGGAGTCTGATTTTCGGCCGATTCTGTATCCGGGCCAAAGCCAAAAGAAAACAAACAAACATGGCAAGCGACAAGCGGGGAAGCGGTCAGTACGGGCGACGAGTCTTGGTCCTACTCGGTTGCAGGTGTGTGAAAGGCGCTTACAGTACGGGTTGTTGGCGCGGTGAAGATTCGTCAACAGTTGTGAAGAGTGCAAGCACCACATATAAACATGATGATTGGGGATAACTTTCTTTATTAACGGTGCAAATATGTGCGAAATGCTTCGAGATCATCTGCCTGTTTTTTGATGTTCGCGGTCTTTCACGGGTTTGGCAGGACTACTGAACCCAGTGAGCCGAATCTTACGAAGTTCATTGAGTGGGATTAATAAATAACGAAGTATGCACAGTGTATGCACACTGTGCATACTTCATATTATTTTGATGCGAAGCACTTGGTATTCTCGGTGCAGATAACAAGGTTTGGCGAAATTCTCGTGAGTCAATACGTCACCGGTTTCGCGCGTCGAATTCCACGTGTGAACAGGCCGTCTTTGCGAAATCTTGGTTTCGCTAAACTCTGGCACATCAAAAAGATGCATCGTATGAATAAGCCTTTAGTCACGCGTGTGAACCGAACCAACAATGTCGTGCGCGCTACGCACTTGAGATGAGCCGTTGCCACTTCGTCGATTTCTTCATTGCCGCTGAAGAGGCTGCACTGATTCACCAGATGCGTGGCACACTCCAGGTGTTTTGTGGCCTCGGCTACTTGGTCCTGCGGAGAGAAAAATAAACAAGAGCCGCCACTGACCAACGAACGAGGTGCCACGGCGCCTCTAGTTTTCAGGTCTATTGGATTACACATATAAAGTGCGAGTTTGATTATTATGGGATTGTTGTTGTTTGTTTGTTTCCTGGGGGGTCGGCCAGGGGGGCTATGTTCGACAAATGCTTCGTCTCTCCTAAAAAGAAATGAAACCAATCAGACGAGACACCGTCACTTCCGTTTTTTTTTAGGAGAAACGAAACATTCGTCGAACATAGCCACCCAGCAGACGCTCTCGCGTACGGGCTATCGCCCATCTGCTTCGCCTCGCACGCCCCCCAGGACACAGTTCGCTTTTTGTGCTAATAAAGATTATTATTATTATTATTATTATTATTATTATTATTATTATTATTATTACCCAGATCAAAAGAAGGCGCGCGGAAGCGGGAAGATACTGCCCAATATTGGAGTTTCAAAGACGCAAACAAAGCCCGGCGCGCAAGTGTCACTGCAAGTTCGTCGTCTTTTTCGGTTTAACCGAACAAAGAGTATAAGCGTTTTTGTACCTGATAGGTCTTGTTGTTTGCACTCTCCGAAGACTTTTCGATAATTGAAAATTCTCTGAAACCTTTGTCAAAATGCTCATTTAAACTGCTAAGATCGCTCGCATCACCCGCATCGTCCGCCATGTTGACGAACGTTGCGCCACCTGGCCAGACCTGGCGTTACAGTGTACAGTGCCCTTTTTGTGGATCGAGCGAGCAAATACAATCGAAATCATTGCTGCCGCAATTGCATTATTGCTGCGCGAAGTAAAATTTATTATACGGTGCTTTTAGCCCCCACTTAGATCGCTCACTTGTCCGTTGCTCTTGGTCAGCATCATTACCCAGCGCTGGCCAATGGTGTAGTGAGGTCGAGGAGGCGCGAGCCAGAAGCGAAGTGCGAGGTCGGGTAAAGTCGTTAAAATGGCCGCCTCCAAGGAATCGATTCTTTTGATTCGTGGAGTTCTGAGAGAATTACGGAAAGCACTCCCGGGGGTACGTAGACACTTTCGTTTTTTTTTTTTCTTTCATTATGAAAACGCGAGTCTGGACGCTGACGGACGGTAGTCGCTTCTCTTCATGACGCTGTTTTGACCCCGTGCGTTCACTTACACTTCGTTCCCGACCCGGGCCGATGCCGCGCGTCTGAAAAGTGCGCATGGTGTATTTTTGCGGCACTTTCCAACCCGTTTCCCACGCTACTATTACACGACGAAGTAAGTTGGGTATGAGTATCAGAAGAAACACCTCAAAAGTAAGTGAGAGTCGTTATGACCGGTGTTCGGGTGGAGCCGTTATGTAACATTCCTCCACGTCTAGGCTGGGTTAATACCTACATTGTACGTACAGTATATAACTTCAGGCACTGGTAGTGTTAAAAAAATGTTGTTTGTTTTATTCTTTAGACGGTTGTCTAACAACACGAAAGGCTCGCTGAGAGCGTGCGGCCGAGGCAGGCGCGGTTTGGTGATGCCCGTGTCATTCTTTGGTGAATGAACGAGCTCGTCAAAGCAGATTCATTTTCACTGCATCGCTTCACGTTTCCCTCCTGTGACAAATGGAACTTGGCTTTTCTTTCTTTTTATGTATAGCAGTCATGCAAGCAATGCCTTCCACCTAGCGGTTGATTCCCGCACTTTTTTTTGTAGAAGCACATGAGCCAACGTCCTGTTTTGGGGAGGGAACTGGAAAAAGTAGTATTTGATGGAGTGGCTCCAGTAAAGATTGTTTCATAAAAGTGATACTTGAGAAAGTGGCCCCAGAAAAAGCAGCCTCTGAAAAGTGGTCCCAAAGGTTATGGTCTGTGTTCTACGTGGGAAAAAATGGCCCCAAAGAGAGCTGTTATAAGGGCTCGATGCAGCACAGGCGGAGAAATTGCTTTCTACCACCGTCAGTGTGGCTGAAGTCACGATTTAAGGCACGTGCCGTGTATGGATAGCCGCGCTGTGGTCGCTTCGAAAACGAGCTGATGATGCGGATAAGCTTTGGAGATGAGCATTGATTTCCTTTCGGCCGTCGTAGGGGGTCGATGGAAGAAACCGACTATTTGTATTGTCTGGTCGTTGTGCCAAGGATTTCTGGGTTGAGCAGCATTAACGGATGCAGAGTACTCTTCTGCACCAACTAGTTTCTGACAGGGGGCTCATGCTCTATTCCCTGGCTCGCCTTTTAGGTTAAATGAGCTGCGCAACAATTTCAGGGCATTGCTTAAATAATTGTGGAAGTTGATGCCTGACACTTCTGAAGTGAACTAGAGAAAACAGATTTTGCCTGGATACCGTAGTTTTAGTTTAAAAAAATGAAAAAAAGTCCAGGTTTTTGTTGCCTGTCAACTCGTACGTCGTCTTCCTGGTCACGTGCGCAGTGACTTTGAAGGGGTAGGCGCGGGGTTCCGGAAAAGTTCTTTCTTTAGAGCAATCAGTGAGCAGCGAGAACTCATCCGCTCGTGACCGCGTGACCACGTGCTGGCGGGCGCCGCGCGAACAATATGGTGAAAGGAGGAAAGTCTCATCCGGGTCCGGCCATACCCGTCCGGCCCTGTCCCCCCCCCCCCCTTTGGCTTCTGGCGGCTGTTCGTGGTAGCAGAGAGAGCTGACGGTTTTGTGGACGTAGGATAGATAGCGCCACTAAAACTCCATATAATAACAGTTTTGTCGATGATACCAGGTTTTCGACGCATTCATATATATGTTCGAACGACAAGATTTATAGAAAAGTTGGCTTTTATCGAGCAGGTATTTGCACAACTTGCTATCTTTCTACAAGATTCCCCATTGACGTCACGCCATGTGTTTCTCATGGCCGCCGCTCGCGGTTGCAGGTTGGGGAATATTCTAAGTTTTGCCTCGCTATTACGCGGCGGAATCTCAACACTTCGATGAAAGGAGGTGTGTTTCTGTCATTTGTGACAAGGTGAACAATATCAAAAGCAGAAGATGCCAATTCTTTCAGCGTTAATATCGTTGCACAACTCCTTTAATATCTTGCCAACATGCCATTGGAGTGAGAGGACATTCCCTAAATTTCGCGATGCTCATGTTCAAAATTGTAGCCCATTTTCGGGGGCCGAGCACGACGTTCTTGAGTTTGAATGTTTTTCGTAATGCTTACCTCTACCAATGTTTATGGGGGAGGTTATCCAAATTGAAAATAACGATTTCGTTGTCTCGCTGCTGACACCGCATGAATCCGATTCTCCTTTTGCGTTTGTTGTTTCGATCTTGCGGTCAGAAACGGGAATGGCTGCCAGTGCATACGACTAGCTTGTGATATTACCTTATCTCAAGCAGGAGTATTGCAAATAGGAGTCTTCAGTACTCCTTTGTCTTTTGCAGGAGTGCAGAAGACAGATGAGGACATAAGACAGGAGCGCGCTTTATATTGAGTATCAAACCAACTAGTCCACGTTAATATCCTAGCTCAAGCAGGAGGTCGTCCTTAACTTCCATTATCTAGTGAAGTATGTTACTGGACTACTTGGTACATCTTTAGGTACAAAATAATAATGTGGAGAAGAGACAAGGGAATGCTGTGCAGGACATTAACTCTTCCTTTAGCACATCATCACTCAGTTGGCGGGCTTTCCGAGGAACATAATTTCGCCCGTTACGACTGCAAAGCTTCTTGATGTGACGCGTCTTCGAAGAGCCGTCCACAAACATATATATATATATATATATATATATAAGAACATTTAAACAAGCACAACGACTGTTGGCAATGTGTCGATAGTCGCGACTATAAGAAACTGACCGGCGAGACACCATGCAACGTGCAGCAAGAGCGGCAGGCGGGAGTGCACCTCGCAGATCTGTATGCATGCCGTGAACCTAACGCTAGAATCTCGCCGAGTCGCGGCATCATGCGAACACTTCCTATGGGTGGCTTGCACCGACGTCAGCTCGGTGACCATTGTGGGGGCCCTGCTGCTGAGTGCTTACCTTCTACAGCATACATTTCCCACCATCGAGTTTGTTTTCCTCGGCAAGAACAAGTAGGAGTGACAACCAGCATGGTGCAGTGACATCACATGCAAGCCATCAATCAATCAATCAATCAGTTTATTAAGTCACAAACAATTACATTTGGGACTAGGGGGCTGGAAAAAAGCTGCATACTCGCAGCTTTTTTCCAGGCCCCCTAGTCCCAAATCTGTACTAATGCTCCATCGCTTCACCAGAAGTTAGTCTGTACTTGTGTCCTTCATATTTTTGAAGAGAGAGGGGAAGGAGGCTGCACTTTAGTCGAGATAACTAAAGAAAAATCGTCACCGTTGAGGCTTGCTTCTTCCACTTAATAATGACCGGGGTGGAACGGCTGCGCCATTTTGCACCAGACGCATTTGTCTGCACCATCCTGCGCCACATTGCGGAAACTGCACCACAGCCAATACCTCGTGCCATTATGCACCAAATCGCAAAACATGCGCCAAAAAAATTGTATATTGTCTTGGTTTCGGTTTCTGTCAACTGGATTGGCAACAATGAGGTTTTTTTAGCTTGGTTGGCTTTGCAAGCCTTTGTTCTGTTTATTTTCCCTGTGTATCCCGAGTCAGAAGCGCGTGAAAAAACTCCCGGGTCGGATTCTGAGCGCTACATCGCATACGACTTGATAGTTGTCTTGAAGACTTCAACCATAAGCAGTTCAGCAAGTCGGCTGAGGTGAGATCAAGTCGTTCAGAGCCAGATTGCCTGAGGCTCTGCGGCCCGGGATCCGGATGTCAGCCAATTGAAAACAAATGAGCGAAAGATTCCTTTGAGCACTTCTTTGTCAGAAGCTATAAATGCATTTTCGAGTTCCTTGGAAATCCAATACCTGATAAGTTTCAACCATTTCTGAAGTTGGAACCGCATTCCCGCAAGATAAGTCGTGATTTAATAGAGCTGAAAACGCGGTCCGATCCGAAACCTTGCCGGCCGGCAGCTGTCACACGAGTGGTAGATCTGCTCGGCGTGCATTGCTCCTGCTTATCGCTTCGAATACGGTAACTCCGGTAATCATAGTCTGCTGCTTCAATATTGAATTGCACAATAGAATAAACTCAATATTTTTTGCCCTGTTTCTCAGTGCAACTGCACGCCCGTTGCTTACGCACGTCACGTGGTTCGCACATATAATTACTATGTCGAGCGTGTGTGGGTTGTGCGACAAGCAGTGCTAGTTCGCATTTTGAGCAGCTGAAAGCCACTCAGAAAATATCAAGTACACTGTTTTCAGTAACATGTGGTACTTGCTTTTTGGTTCTCATTAAGGTTCACAAAGTTTCATCTGTTTCACTGTTACCCATCTACCTGTAGCCAGTAACAGGTCAAGAACGAAGTGGAAGCTCTTCCCACCTCTTTCCACTTTAATAGAGCGAACGCTGGAGAGGAGGTGACCTCCTCTCCACCGTTCGCTCCGCTGAGTCCGAGACACAAGCTGAAGTGCAATAAAAACTGATCTGAGCTGCTCTTAGCCTGCTCTAGAATGTAGTTTTAGCTGCTCCCAACCTGCTCCAAAACAGCTGTTTCAGCTGCTCCCGTGGCTGCTCCAAAGTACATTTCATCAGTTCCACCCAGGCACGTAGCCAAGGCCCGGCGCCCCCCCCCCCCTTTGAAACAAAATCCTGGCTACGTGCCTGGTTCCACCCCTTTAATAATGATAACGTCTAACATCCTCCATCCAGCAGCCAGGCACGTTTCCAACTCTTGTCAAATATATGAGGAACTCGGTTTAAGTGTTCGAAGAGCCCTGCGCTATCGTAATCTTGAATCACAAGTGCCAGCCACGGCCGGTCCGTTCAATCACATCGGAACACGCTAGGTTGATTAGTGCTCGCAGCAGGCTTGCTATATGCCGACCTGTTGCACACTGATGCATTATAACAGCAGATCTCTTATCTGGTCAGTTGGTGACTCTTCCGACATCTGCTCACATCTACGACAAAAATGGCATTGGCAATAAGCTGACAAAAAAATTGTGTAGTTGCCAAGTAATTGTCATACTTTCAAGTACCG